TTTGCAAGGATTGAATGGATGGCATATGAGTTTCATCCATACCATGAAATTTATAAGGAGAAAAAAAAGCAAAGAATTGGGTAAAAAAACAACTCCACTAGCTACCCTGAGCACTGCTCCAGCTGACGACATCAACAATCCACAACCAGCTAAGATGCTTTGTATTTGTATGCATTTTGGTATGTTTTGCAACTAAAATGTTTTGTTTTTTTTTGCATCTGTATTTTGGTATTTTGTATATTTAGCAAATATTAAACCAACTGTACAGCAGTATGCAGTGTTTGACTAAAACCATGTGTAGAGAGATGATACAAATGGTATCAAATGTAAAGAAACCATAAAAATTATTAAAAAATACAATAATGAAAGAAAGATAAAAAGATTGCAAAAATAATTACAGGCCAACTTATGACCAGATTGATTTACAACCTGTCAGTCATAAGTAATCATGTTCATAAGTTGACAAGAATATATAATTAGTTACATCCTTTAAATTTAAAAGTTGTCTAATAGACAAAGCAATCCATATAAATTATTACAGCTCTTTTGAATAAAAACCATAAGGCAAGTTAAGGAAAAAGAAGTACAGACAATTTTTAAAGAGAAACTTTAAAACTCAAAGCAAAATTTCCCTTCTACAAAAGTGGTTGTTGCTTTAAAAATGAAAATGAAACTAGAATTAACATACAGTTAACACATTGTCAAGTGATTAAATCTTAATTAGTATTGATTGTGATGAAAAGGTTAATTGCAGAGACAATTACATCCCAACCATCATTGATTTTTTTTTTTTAATCACATTGATTATAGCAATTTTTTCAACTGAATTTTCACTAATTAATCAAAATTAAAAGGAAAGAAAATTATAACAAAAAATTATTCTTCTGTCCATCCTTAGCATTTTAATTATAAAGTAGTGGTTAATACAATTTTAAAAATATGACTAAGAATAAGATTTTAATAGCAGCAAATTAATGAAGACCTTTTTTATGTAATTTTTATGTACCCAGTAATCTTAAAAGTTTAGGAAAATATTCACTGTCATCTAATGTTTTATTGAATTGTAGATATTTTGGCTTTCAATTTACTACAGCTATCACTCTTATTTTCTGATAATGTTGTAGATGAACATACATATCTACAAAAATTGGCATGCTTATACACAAAAAATTTTTAGAAAATTCAAAATCCTTTTAAAAATATTGGTGTCTGATGATTCATCCATTTTCCATTTATTACTGAATTTTAAAAGGTTTTTAAACTTTATAAATTATTCTAATTAAAATTTTAAAAAATGAAAACAATTCTTGTAAAAATTCATTATTCATTGAAAAAATTTTTTTCTTAAGACAATAGTACTCTTAATATATTTTATTTATAAAAGCTATTAGAAGTTTTTCTAATTAAATAATGTTTTAGTTTTATTGCATTTTTATGTTATGATTCAGAGCTTGTTTTTTGGTAAATGGTGTTTCTGTTTTACAAAAAAAATTGAAATAGTGAAATTTAATTTCTCAAAATTTCATAAAAATAAAGTAAATAGGTGAGGGGTATATTTTTACCAAGATTTTCTAAAAAAAAAAAAAAAAAAAAAAAAAAAAAAAATGATAATAATTCCTTTGCAAATAAGTTTAATTAAAATTCAACAGTTATTTCATTTTTGCAAGAATTCCCAAGTCAATGTGTTTTTTACCACAAAAAAAGATGCTAAAATTTCCTATACTAAATCTTTGGTCCCCCCACCACCACCACTGACACAAGAAAAACAAGATTCTTTTTACCAAACTTTTAAATGTGCTAGAAAGGATTAAAAAGTTTAATAAAATAGTCAACAAATAGTTTGGTCTTTCCTCTTAATAATAACAAAGATTTTGATGATAAAACTTTGTTTTTATTAAGTTTGGGTCATTTTTCATGATATGCTCTTTTTTCAGCAAATTAGTACAGCTACCTAATCTATAATATCACATATGTACCAGGGATACCTACCAAGGGACAGCACAGTGGCTGACCATGGGTGTTTAATGAATGTAAACAGAAATGTCTGGTTAAAACTGTCTGCAGTAACAGAGAAGTAAAACTGGTTGAAATCATAAACCATTCAATGCAAGAGGTACCAGATGTATATCTAGCAAGTCAGTTTAGTGTTCTTTAGCTTTCATGGGATAAGGAAGCAGAAGACCCACAAAGTTGCCTCTGTTAACACAAGACAAGAGACAGTACTTCATCTAGACTTGTGACATTACCAATTTGGTCCTTATGGACTATCAAGTGTGATGTGGTCTGATGAACCAATTCATTTTAGTAGATGATTGAGTTTGGTAGTGGTGTAAATCTCATGAGGACATGGATACTAGTTCTTAACAAGGCACCATGCATTTTGATAGTAATTCCATAATGTTATGGAAAATGTTCATGCAGCAAGGATTAGCCTTTTTACTACAGAAACATATTATTGACTGGTGACCATCTATTCATAGACTCCAATAACAATGATGGATTATTCCAGCATGATAATGCACTATGCCACTGGTCCAAACATTCCTAGAATTGGTTTGAGGAGCATTCTGGAAACATCCAACAAATGATGTGAGCACCATATTCACATAATATGAGTCCAATTGAGCATTTATGGGATATGATGGGGAGGTTGATTCACATGCAAGATCCTGCACCTAAAAATTACTGTGGAGAGTTATCAAAATGACATTGTTCCAGAAGTCTTCTAACTACTTTTAAAATCAATGCCATGTTGAGTTGCTGTACTTTTCAGGGCTGCAAGAAGGTGGAGTGTCATACACAGCACTTGGCAGCTAACCATTTATTTTTGGCTCATCAATATAGACAAAGCAAAAATATTAGAAATTTTAAAGTCTGAGTCCACTGTCAATTAAAGTCAATTTTAAAGTTTAATTCAACATTTAACTTTTAAGAAACTGTAATATAGAAGTGATATTCTTGCCAAAATACTCTCTGCAGGATTTCATGACATCACAACAACTAGTGAAATTTCACTTTAAATCATATTGAGAAAAAGAACATTTTATTTATAGTTTTTGCCATTGTTAATAAATTAGATTTGTTGGAACAGACAATTTAAATTTTTTTGTTTCAAAATTTCTTTTTAGACACTATAAATAAAAAATGCAGTGATGTAAAATAAAACAACAAAAAAAATTAACAGTTTTCTTCCTCCTCTAAAGTTGTGTGTATATTTATAACTTTTAAAAGTGTAATTATTCTTATATATTCTTATATATTCTTTTCAATTTAAAAACTAAAACAATATCAAAATAATTTTTGTCCCCAAATAAAAACATAACCTACTTGCTAATTCCAAATTTGAGATTTTTTTTAATAATATTATTACTACACTAAAGAAGGGGGTGTGGAAAGATAAAGTGAGGGTATGTGTGAACAATAATTACTGAGTCTTGACACTAAATCCAAAGAATAGCTGGGAATACTTATGGAATTGATTCCCAAGATATTCCAGCTGCAATGTTTGAGAGAAGTCAAATATATTTAATTGGTTTGGTGATTTCATAAATTGCTTTTTGAGCTCCAGTTACTAAGAATTAATATTTTCAAAAATACTGATTCAAAGAAAAGCACACAATCTATGCCAATTTATTTTTCCTTTGCATTTAGAACAAAGAATTAAAAACAAAACTAATTTTTAATTCTTCTATTGCACAATCTAAATTAAGCTTTATATATTTGTGTGTGTGAATTAAGTAAAAAAAAAAAATGTAACTAAAATGAGATTGCTGAAATGTTTCTAGCCCAACCAACAAAAAAGAAATAAAGAGTGATTTTAATTATTTTGTCAAATTTTGGGAAGTGAATCCAGTTGTAAACTTTCCAGCACCCCTAGTAAATCATGAATTGGAGGAAAAATCTTAAATCATTGGAAAGAATAAAAGCAGCTTGAATTGAGAATATTTATATTAATTACTGAAAAATGTACCAAGAAGCTACTTAAAATTAATTAGTTTTAATAGGACTGGGCTAAAAATCATTTAAAATTACTAATTTCCAACATTAATGTGTTAAGTGATTAAAAAGTTAGACTTTTAAGAATTTTAGCATTTATTCAAAGTACATTTATAAAAAATATATATATTAAATATTAGCAGCAAAGATAAGAATAATTTCAACATCAAGTAATCAACTAATAAAAACTATTTTAACAAAAAGCATGTTCTGATAACTATAGTGTATTATTAAAGTGTACTTAAACTATTTTGTTAAATTGCCTTTTTTCATTTGCCTCATGGTTCATATGTTCTTTAAGGGGATGCTGAAAAGTTTTCAGCCTAACCCATTTCCCAAAACCTAACCAAATGCCCACTTACCAAATATTTTTGGGAAGGAGTCTTTAGTCAGGTTGACTTTTAAACACTGCCCCCTATCACTCAATACCTACAATCTGAGTACCTCCTTCAAATTGTTTCTGTTAATCCTCCATTAGTACCATAGGGTGTTTCAACACCCTACTAAATATTTTTCCTTAATATTTAGCAAGTGGTAAGTCAAATGTTCATGATTTATTAAGTAGCTTTCTGAATAGTCTGTCAAGTAACTACAAGGAGTTTCTGATTTTAGTCATAATATTTGCATAAGTTACAAGTGGTTTTATTTGTTTATTGAAAATAAAATGAAACCTATTTTTGCATATTTGAAGTTTTGAAAGTTACAAATTCTTTTTAATACTGACTTGATTTTTCAAAATTTTAAATAATTTTCTCCTATTTTTATTTATTCTATATGAAGCAAAAAGAAGACTCGAACAATTTATAAAATGAAATATCTATAATACTTTGAATGGGATGCTTGAAATCTTCATGGTATTAATACGATGACACTAATGGCTAATGGCAGCAACTAAAAATACACTTACATTGTATGATTACAGTTGATTGCACAAATATTTATACAAACAATTTTGACTGTTCTGAAAGTAATGTAGTTATAACAAAGAGATGGAAATGTCTTACCTTGTGTAAAGTTTCAAGAGCCAAGACAATCTCACCAATGTAAATCCGAACCTCAGCTTCAGTGAATGTCTCTCGATTGAAGAGGTGGGTGAACATTTCACCCCCATTCACATAGTCTATGGAACAAAAAACAATAAAGAAACTTAATATGACTACCAAGAAAATCTGTCTTATCATTCATCTCTACCCAACAGATACTTTAACTTTTTAATTTTACAAATACTGGTTATGGCAGACAAGCATATCACTTGAAGTGTGTCCAAGTCTGGCTTTGAATCTACATCATGAAAATGACAGATTGCTTTTACATGCTACAGTAATCAGTAATGAATCTATGGGTAGTATGGTAATTGTTGGGAAATCAGTTATCATACTACACATGTCGATACATTTTGTGGAAATGCAGCATATATTTTTGCATTTCTGTCCATAATTTTTAAATTATGTCATTTTTAATAAAAATTACATCTTTATTTACAGAGATATTTTGATTGAATTTTTTTTAAATGATTTTTCGCTGCAACATTACCAAAATTAACAAATGTCCTTTGTTTCTTTATGAGATTTGCTTCTTATGCTTTATTAAACTACAAAGTTCAACATTTATAAAATTTCTAACTTCAAAAAGGTATGTTAACTTTCATCATATCTTTGTAAACAAGCAATAAGAGAATCAGCTTTCTTGACTAATAAAACATAAAAAACAACTTTCATTTATCTACAAAACAATTTGATTAAATCTAATCTGAAAAAATTCAATTGGTTGAGTTCATACATCGTTTCTCATAACTTTACAAAAAAACTCACTTATGTGCTGGAAAAGATATCCTAATTTTAACAAAGATTTAGCATACATGTATATATGCATATATACCTTTATATTTAAGAATGCATGTGCACACACACAAACTACTGTTTATGACAGCTTTTAAGATGACTTACAAGTCAAATATTTAAAGAATATAAAAATTGGGTTTTATCAATTTTTCAAATAATATTTCATGTTAAACACTAATATTTAATAACTGAAAGAAAAAAAAATAAGAGTAGGAACTGAACCATATTGCAAAAGGTGTTTTGATTCAACTTACCAAGAATGAGATGAAGTTTGGCATCTGTTTGAAAGGCATAATGCAAAGTGACCAGAAAGGGAGACTGTCGAATGGCTTCTAACACTTGTCGTTCAGTCTTTGTATGTTCTGTGGTCTTATTCTTCTGAACGATGCTGGCCTTTTTCAGGACTTTCATTGCATACAATTTGCCACAATCAAAGCCACTCACTTTCCTCACAAGAAACACTTTCCCATAAGCTGAAAAACATAAAAAAGAAGAATAAAAGAGATCAAGCAATAATGATTAGTATTTTCTTCTGATGATCATCATGAGAGAGACATGAAGAATTTTTCTATTATTAATATTTACCTTATTTCTTCAAAATCAGACTATGTTTTTAAATAGTAAATTTACTAAGAATTAATAAAGGAAAATTAAAGAAATGCAACAAAATAAAAACAAAAATTATGAAAGCAGTAAACCAATAAAAGTCACTGCAAATCAGTTGCAATATTATAACCATGCATTGCCAAAATATGGTTAACTTGAATTTTAATAATATACAACTTTCTTCCAATCACTTTTCCTGTCCTAGATTGATAACTGAAGGAAGCTGACAAATATTTCATGTCACCCAAGGGTGACCTGAGAGCGTGACAGCACAGAGGGGTTTCACTGAGATATTTATTCTACATGCTTAGTTGTAATTTTTCAAGTGTTTGGCACAGAGTGATGGTAATAATCTAGTCTAACAAGCCATTGCTACTGAATTGCATCCTAACATAGAACCCCATTACTGTAGCCTTGTGCCAGCTTGGTAAATGTCTATTTAGCAATCATTATTTTAATCTTTAACTAGAAAGCACTCAATGCTATGGCATGACTGTTTAAAAATGAATAAAATTTTAAAAAAACAAGCATACGGACACTAACCATGCTTATTTTTTTATTTTATATATATATATATATATATATATATATATATATACATGATAGAAAATAGTTTTAAGGTATGCTATATTTATAGGTTAAAGTGCCCAAAATCAGGGATAGAGCATATGTAAATATAAAAGTGGACATTGAGGTCAACAACCAGTGGTGATAGTCTGTTTCATGCTTAAACACAATCTTCAGGCCTGAAAAATACATTTACGCATGAAACACACTGTCGCTATTGAGTGTTGACCACAATATATCTCTCCCTCTCTCTCTATATATATATGTGTGTGTGTGTGTGCATGCACAACTATGCTTATTTTCTTAAATTTTGCATAATAATAAAATAAAAATATTTATAAAATATTAAAATATACATATATATATATATATTAATACAATATTGTTGTTCGACCCTGACAAGTGAAACATCACAAGACTGTCAGCCTTACATAAGTATTTTAAATTTTTCATATTTTTGATGTAATGGCAACATTAATTATATATATGTGTGTGTGTGTGTGTGTGTGTGTGTGTGTTGGTAATAAAATCTGATTAATAAACAAAGAAATAAATTAATATTTAAAATTGTTATTTGCATCATGCAAGAACATGAAACCATAGCAAAATTATCAATACAAAAAAATCAAATTAAAAATATTACATATGACAAAATTATCTTTATACACAAAATAATTCTGAAAGGAAAACATATTTATTTTTTTACTGAAATCTATCTCAACAATAACTCAACTTTTTTTCTTCACTTATCAACAGATAAGGAACAATAACAGTACTTCAGTTACCATAATTCCTTCAGTTTCCCAATACAGTGTCTGGTTTTATTATGCATGTCATTATTTTCACAATAATATTAGTATTAACCAACTGATGCTGGTAACATTTTCAGGATATACTTATATATACAGGTTGCAATGGATAGATTGTCATCTAAATTATGCAAAAATCTAAACAACACTGACATCTAATTTTAACAAATATATTTACCAAAATTACAAAAATATCTAATTTAAATAGTAAATTTATTTAATAAAATTGCATTTGGCTTCAACCACGCCTTCCAGACAACTTTGGAATCTCCAGCAACTCTTCCTTGTTTAAATTGGTGAATGCTGCCACAGTCCTTGCCTTCAGTTCATCTTTGGTGCTAGAAGTTTTGTTGGTCTTTCAATCAACAAGGAAGTTGAAATCTGGGGAGTTAGATGGCAGATGTAAGGGATGATGTGGTCACAAAAATTGTCTGACAGTAATGACTTGACTCTCCTGTTTGTGGCATGGTGCAGAGTCTTGTTGCTAGACATAGCATCTTCCAGCAGCCACCCTTTTGACCCAGAGCAGCACTACCTCCTTAAGGCACTTGATGTAAGCTTCCATGTGTCTGAGGCTCTGTGTGAAGATGAATGGAGGCATAACATTAACATCACTAATGATCACTTGAAATACCATTGTGCTCTTTTTTCTCACAGATGGTGCCCTACTGACCTTACTATACTGTACAGCTGACAAAATCAAAAACAAACAATACACATGCATAAAATAAAAAATATTAAATGGTGAGAATTTACCCATTGCACCATATATATGGTAAGTAAAAACATTTATTTCAGCTTCTAATATCTGTTTTATTATAAATATTTTGAAGAACATGTTTAGTGGTTGAAAATTTTATTATGTAACTGAAAGGTTATTCATCATATTTCACACACACATATATATATATATATATATATATATATATATATATTTAAGTTATATCTTTCTTATGACCCTTGGCATCAGCTCTATAACCTATAAAACCTTTTTCTCACTTGCTTTGAAGATTTGACCATACCACTTTCCAGAATTCTCATCTTCCTCTCTTTAAATATTTTGTTTTTCTACCAAACTTTATTAATGTTTTTTTTATTTTTTTCATGTTTCTTTTTCTCTTTATCAAAAAATCTTCTGGTTACTTATCTTTCATTTTATTCAATATTTCTGTCTTCCCTCTTTATTCCTTTATTTCTATTTATTTTTCTTTATTATTCTTATTTCCTCACTGAGGGCGTGTTTATCTCAGAATCATTCTCTATCTCATAGTACACACATACCTAACATCCCTCTGTAGCTGGATCTTCTAGCAAGAAATATAAACGCACGTGTTTTCTTTACATCTTCACCCCCCCCCTACATAATGGTGACCACCAACGTGATTTTGCGTAGGGAAGCCATCCACTACAATAATGGTGACCTTCCGACATGATATTTTTCAACCCAGATACAAGACAATATATATGTACAAACACATTTTTACACAGACCTTCCAAACAGGAGCCAGTCCAAAAAAAAAAAAGGAAAGAAAAAAAAAACATAGAAAACTTCTTTTCGCATCCTAATACGCACATCGTACACAAAATTTAAAAAAGCAACAAAATTTGTGATTAGACCTGATGTAAGTGCAAATCACAATTTTCTTGCGGCGACGTTTATCCAATTTCACCTGACAGAAAAATTTTATGTATAAAAACAATATGTCGGAAACAAGTGAGAACCAGGCTGAATCTTCACTCGAGCTATAGAGAAACAACTTTCTATGGTATTTAGTCGATTAAACTTCAACCACACAACATCGTATGGACATGGAAGCAAAACTCAAGAATTTTTCACTAGAGTGAACATATCATTTCTGGACGACTCATTGTTCCTTTACTTATGATGTGACATCACTTTGAGAATTTGCACACACGTTATTCGTTTGCTATTAATACTGCAAATTCAGCATTCTCTCACTACATTTAGCAATCGCATTCTAAAACTCAAGAAAAGGCGCGAATACAATTTTCTACACCACATGGCGACATTTCACACCACTGCTTGCTACATTGCTTACTCACTGTCTCGAAAAATATTCTACGACACAACTTTCATATAAAAATTTGCTGACGATTTACTAAATAATACTTGGTTATCATTAATAAGCAAATTTTTCAATTTCACCACAATGTTGCAACTCCAACATCATCCGCATGAATCCGACTCACTGAACTACATGGAACTTTGGATATTTAATAAAGCTAGCATTTCAACACAATGTCGGCTGACAATAATTCCCGCGCACATTTCGCCGACACACATTCACTCAGACTGTGCTATACACACCACACATACTTTCGGCAATTTTTCATCTGATAACATTTCAAAAATCCAATTTCAACATGCGTCAACAATTTTGGACACTCTCTCCATTCCTTTTTACAGATTCTAAGTATTGCTCCTACATGACATATTAAAGAAATGTGTTATAATTTCTTTAATCTCATGGGGGGTATTGTGATGATCATCATTACACACATACATACATACCTACACAAATTCAAATTTCAATAACAATACCTACACAAATTCTAATTTCAATAACAATCATTTATTGGATAGAAATCAATGCTGCTATCTTATGTGACTATTTTGAAATCGCTATATTTTCGTATAGTAGATTTTGTGCACTTTTGGGAGACTCGGATCCCAAGAGCCTTCTTAGCTTAGTAAATATTTTTCAGGAAATATCAGTTTCTAATTGGTAAATAAACACACAAGTGGGCATTGCAATCCACCCACGCACAATATATTTTTCCAGCGTGTGACTAAGTCAAGTTTCCCGCCAAGGCGTTCTGAACTTGTCACGTGATTATGTTATCTGTAAAAACAAACACAAGTTTGCCTCTTCCTCTCTTTCTTCTCTATTCTTGCTGCAAAATGTAGTCCTGGAGAATTGTCATCTTGACCTTGTGGTCAGACATTAAAGAACATTACCAACATACACGTACGTATGAACATTCACCAAAATACAAACATTCACACACACACACAAAAAAAAAAAAACAATGTTAACTGTCTATGTGCTTTGTAAATGTTTTGTTTAATACATATATTTGTTTATATATATTGGTCTTGTTTGTTTGTCTTCCTTATCTTCATTTGGACTTAATCCAAGTCCAACATTCTATTGTAGCTGGACCTTCTAGAAGGAAATATAAACACACGTGTTTTCTTTACATCTTCACCCACTGGTCCTCCACACCTCCTTATTCATTAAGCTTGCCTCTATATACTGTCAACTTTATACATTTAGAATTTTTCCCACAGGTTTCTCTCTCCATCTAGTATTAATTTCAACTCTTTCACAACTCAGGGCCCCACCCACCAAATAACACAATTTTTTCCAAGTGGAACTATCTTGTATGCAAAGATCTCTTGGCCAAGCTCTGTGATCTTTCTGCATGATTTAAAGCAGCAACGTCCTGCCTTTCTCTACCTTCTTGACTTACACAATTGCACACATGCATTGAACATCTCTCATGTCCAAATTCAACGACTTTCTATCAAGATTTTCAGCTTCCTTGCTTTTGGTAGTTACTTAGATTTTATTCTCACAAATACAGACAGACAGATAAATCTATTTATGGAATGGATAACAATATTAATGGTCAGTTCATTGCTGAAGCTGAATGACATTTGCTGCTTCTGACCAAACTGAAGTAATGAAGCTTATTTGGTAAATCACTCACAGCCAATTGGCTTCTGATAACCAATGACCATATATTGAGATATTCACCTCAACGTTCGCCATTTCATCAAGAAATCACCATTCAACAAACTATTCAGTACTCATTTTCATCTTATTTCAAGTAATACCTATTCACCAGGAACAATATTGTAAGAGTTTTTTCTCAATGAGATAATAACCTGAATTATATATATAATAAATAAAGTTATTTTGTTATTAATGCTTGCAGCAGTTCCTGACCACTGACAATCCATTTCTCAATTGCATTCAATGCCCAACATACAAACTGAATTCTGAAATATAAGCAAATAAATTTTACATCAAAAATTACCAAATTCCACTTTTAGTCATGAATGTTACTATTTTATTCATTTATATGATCATATTATTGCATCAAGACCAACATTCACCAAGTGTTGGCTATTACAAATTCTTCTTGGTAAGGTTATTCAAATGTGTCTTTCCTATCTGTTGATATGTCTATAAATATTTTGCATAATGTTTTTAGAAGAAGCTAGATGATTATTAAAGGATCAGCTTTTTTGAATTCATATTATAGTTACAATATCAATTCACACTAAATTTTAGCTTACTTCTTAAATTTATACTTAGTATTTGTTTTGTTGATATATCATTACACTGAACTTAAGTTTTCATGTATTTGTTTAATAAATAAAACCTATAATATCAGGGGTGAAATTATGGTCAAATGATTATGTTAACAATAATTTAATATTTAAAAATTACATCATTTTTTTAACATTGCTTCTTAACAAAAGTAACTGGTTTACTAGAATCTACAACATATTCTTATATGAAATTTTGCTCAACAACAAAAAGATTTTTCTTCATGCATAAAAATATGTTTTTATAAAACTTTGATTAATGCATTTCAATGGAATGTACAAACTGAATTTCCAAGAATTTTTTCTTTAATTTTGTTTTCTTTTTACTCAATTCACCCCAAGCAAAGCAATAATGCCACTAAGATGCAAGGGGCTACTAGGAGTGAAAGAGAATGAAAAAACTTTAGGAGGAACCAGAAACCCAATCCTAAACAGGAAACAAGAGATAAACCTCTACCCGTGTTCAAAAAACTAAGGAGGAGTGTGAACCAGACAAGAATCTGAATCTATTTAATTATCCCAGATCATGTAATACTCTGCATGTGATCTGTGTTTCAAAGATGTGCATATTTGTACATTTCATTCATCAATGAATTTATAAAGAAATTTGTAAATTTTGCCTCAGGCTGCTGACCTTGAATCAAGCAAGAATGTATATCTAACTCACAGATGTTTCACATATTTGCAGATACAAGGAATATTTAAGTAATAAGGTGGAATTTATTCAAGTGTAGAATGGTATTTCTATAGGAAGTTTCTTCATTTCCCTAAAAGAAAAATTTGAAAACTTTATTAAAATTACTATAAACTAGCAAAACACATAAAAAATAGAACATCTTTGCAATTTAGAAAAATGTCATGAAACCGTATATTTCAAAAACAGAAAATAAATCTCAAATAGTTTATCTATTTACAAATTTCTAATGTTGGTGAAAAATTCATCTTTTTTTTTTTTTTTTAACAACTTCAAAAAAAATTATTCTCACTTTGACTATTTCTATAGAAAAGTAGGAAGTGATCAGGTCAACTCTTCAACACATACTTGTAAATATTACATATGGCCCATGTATTCCTATCAACAAGAAGTCCCAAGCCTAGTTTATTATCATTAAATGGCATATTTTTTCTGATCTAATTGTTGATACTAAAGTCAATGTATTTTGGAAAAGTGTAGCAAGTATTACACATTCCACTAATACATTAAAAGCAAAATATATTTGGAACGAATAAAAAGTAAACTTACCTCCAGTTCCTAAAACCTTTAAAAGTTCAAAGTCAGACATCCCCACCTTCCCCTTTCCAGCCATATTCACTAAAAGAAAAAAAAATAGATACATAAAATAAATTTTTTGAATAAAAATCAAAATTATATCAATAATAATTATTATAATAATGTTGAAGAAGTAATGACAGACAATGTATTTTCAATAGCTAGTTATTTGTACAATGTAAATATTTCTTTTGTTTCACAAGTACAAGCCAAATATCTGCAATAACAAATACTTACCAAATCTTGTTACCATTAACCTATGTATGTATGCTCATTCCTTTTTGTTTCTTTTTATTATTACAAAATTTTGTAATTGTCTTCAGGTATTAATGATATTAAAAAGCACACATGTGACAAATTCTAAATAAATCAGTTTTTCAGTAATTCTAGAGCATTTGTTAAAAGGTTTTCTTTTATAGTTCTTATATATTTGAAGCAAGAGCAAAAATTGGAAAGAAATAGAAGAAAATAATGAAAAAAATCATTACTCTTAAAAATTATACCGTATTATAAGGAAAGAAACCATGTTTTTTCCCATTTCAATGTGTCCTGTCTTATTTTTAAATAATAGGAAAATACAGTGCTCACAATATAAAAACAAAATTAAAGAAACTAATTCAAATGAATCATTGTTATCTCATAAGTTTCAGATTTATTTTCATACACACACAGATATGTATAATAATATAGATTGTAGTGCTCTCAGTTACTAATGAATATTTTAGTTCATGAGAAAATTACAAACTGAAAAAGACACAGCCTTTATAAACATTTCATTATAGAGTAAAATTTCATGCTGAAGATTTCATAATTGATATTGTTTTCCTTTTTTTTAATATAGTCTCTCAAACTTACTTAGTAAAACTTAATATTTATCTCAAATATGCACATATTTACAGTAGGAATATATATCACTACATCTCTCTCATCAATGAATCATAATAGTATTTTAATCATTTTACATTTTTTAGATCACATTAAAATAAATCAATTCTCTACCATTAAATGTCCAGATATTAATACAAAATATTTCCCAATATTTAGATTCAGCCAAAAATGTTATCTAGAAATATACAACTCAAGATTCTTAATTAAAATATTATAATCAGTTCTTTTGATTTCCACACAGGAAATAATGGAACCTCCATGGCATATTAAAACAAATAAATATATAAAAGATCTTAACTATAAAAGGATGAGAGATTTGACACAAAGTTTTGCAAACATCTTGTGGCATATTTTTGGTTATGCAGGTTCTTAAATTTAATTCACAAAAAAAAAAAAAAACATTTATCTGCATTAAATAAAAAAAATTGGTATTTTTTCTTTCTTTTTTAAATAGTAAAAAAAAGGAAATATTCCAGATAAAAAAGATGTTTATTTGACTTTTTGAAATTCAGAAGCAACAAGAGTATTTTAAGTTGTTCTTTTTTTTTCTCCTCTCATAAATGAAATCTTAATTCCCTTACTATGAAAAAAAAATGGTAACATATTCCTGATATATGATCAGGTAAATATGCTCACTGAAATATTTTCTATTGAATATCTACAGAAAATGAAAGCATATATATATATATATATATATATATATATATATATATATATATATATATAGAGAGAGAGAGAGAGAGAGAGAAGAAAGAGAAATCTGAGTATATAATAAATGAAAATGAAAAAATTCATGAGTAATTTTGTAAATTGATGTGTGAATTCTGGTGAAGAGAGGAAAATACATTTTATTTCAAAACAAATTTGGATTTTTAATGAGAAATATGGTTTAACTGATTTTTTTTTTTTTTTAAGAAAATAAGTAATTTTATTACATATACTTAAATACTGTAACCTCTGCCATTTTAATCAGAAAGAAATCAATAAAGTGCTAATTAATAGTACCAATAGTTTAGGAGTGGTTTTTATCCTGAAAGTTCTTTTCTATCTCCCCAGCAAATAGTCTATTAGTTGTACCAGTCACAAATTTATTACTGTCACCCTTTGAAGGATATCAGTAGCACTTATATGGAGCAGCATAATGACATTTATGATCATCTTTCTTATAAGCATATAATTACTATTATATAAGACTGCTTTAACCTATCTTTAATGATATGTTTTTCACTCTTCAATGTAAAACTGAAGGCAGCTTTAATTTTGATTTTCTCTACGATCTTTGTTTCATCTATTTATATAAATATGCACTGAATTTGAATTTTCCCATCTAATACACAGTTTAGTGTTATAAGGAATACATTTCAAGGATTGATTTGTTTTTACAGCTTATCAACCCTTTGTGAGTTATTTACAAAAATAATTCTGGTAAGTGAATATTGCATTAACAATTTTGGGGGAATAATGATTTTTCCAGAAGTCCTACTATTTAACCCACAGCTGGGGGAATGGATTCATACTTTTTGCAATAGTATTTGCACATAAGTGAATGTAACAAACCTGACTGGAATTTGAACTCAGCTCTCAGATTTCTCATTCCAAGCCACTATCCATTATACCACCTGCATGCACATCTGTACATTTCAAAGAAATACAATCTAAATATTATATTTTTAGAAAATCAATAAATTCATAGCAAAAAAAAAACTAATGTTGACATTTACAGATGATGGCTATCATTTAGTCATTTAAAATTTTATTAGAAGAAAAAGTTATCTCAAAATACTGTTTGAACATATTGGTAGAAATTTAGGCATGTAATTAAAAAATGTTTATATTTGAGAAAATTTATTGGGGAAATTGTATGACAAAGTGGGGAAAAAAAAACCTTTTTCCACTTTGTCACACCATTTCCCCAATACTGTTCTTGATATATAAAAATATATATTGTTATCTCATTTGAGAAAATATAATATTCTGTGTTCTTTTAAACTGTGTTTCAAATGGGATAATTTTGAAACAGAAGTATTGCTTCATAATCCAAAGTAGATGAAGTAATCCTGCAAGACAATATTATACATTTGAGCACTTTTAATATCATTTCAAGCAGGAACTTATTTCATTGCACATAACAAGTGACAAAATTGAAAAAGTGAGTTTTACCCAGTCTGAAAAAACTGATTAGAATTAGGTTCAAAGTATACAGGATCATTTGAATTTTAATTATTACAATCAGTTCTACTACATGATGATTAGCTTAAGTTATGCTGTAAATCAATTTTCAGTTTCAATGATATTAACAAAGAAAGATTGAGTCAAAAAATCCTTCAAATTAACATCAATTAGGAAATACAAAATTCCAGTTATAATCATTAATCCTAATAAGACTGCAGTTATAACAATCTCATTTTTAGTTTTCTCACCATTATCATGATGGCTTTGACTCTCATCAAACCAAGATATTTATAATCATTACCCCCTTTTACAATGCATTCTCCTTCTCATATACTTAAGCATAAAAATAAAACTTCCAATCATCATATACATCTCTTTTTTCTAGCTTATATGAGCAAATGAAAAAATCCAATTTATCTTTTCTTTTTATATTGCACACACCTCTTTCCCCCATTTGTCACCTTTTCAACATTTTCCAATTCCCTTCTTGTACACATTACATCCTGTTTAAGTCACAATTCCTCAGCAGAATATCAAGGGGCAAACAACAAATAAACAAAAACATTTTCAAATTATGCTTTCTTTATTTCATTTGATTGTATTTCATTATTTCGTGTTTTCCTCTTTCCTTTATTTGTTTCCTTTTAGTTTATATTTTTTTCCTATTTCTCATCATCTCCTTCAGTTTGTTATTTGAGAAGGCTTCAATGCGAATGAGTTGGTTTGTTCATTCATTCATTTATTCACTAACTTGTTCATTCATCGACAGAAAGAAAAAAGAAGCAATTACTTAGCACAAGTGATGCAGAAAATCCACAAAAAAAAACCTACCACCATTTCCATTGCTGCCCCATCTTTCTTTGCCTGTCATAAAGAAATGAGTGAGTGGAGAAAGAGGGAAGAGGAGAGGTAGAATGTTGGCACTGAGAGATTTGCTATGACAAGGAATTGGCAGATTAGCAAGACAAGTGGGTTGGCTTCTATTGAATATGGACATTAAAACAGAAGGAAATGGAGAAAGACAATGAGAAAAGAGTGCAAGAAAAGGGAGAGTAAGTGTATTAAAAAAATGAAATAAGCAAAATGAGGAGGTGAAACAAAAGTTGAAAGAGAATTGAAGAGTGGAAAGAAAGAAAGGACGAGAAGAGAGAGAGAGAAATGAAAGAATTGAGGAAAAGAGAAGGAAAAACAAAGGGAGAAAAAGAGGGGAAGAGAAAAAAGGTAAAGGAGAGAAAATTAAATATAAAACAAATATGAAAGTGAAAGTAAATAGTGAAATAGAATAAAAATGTTAGAAAAGGTGATGAAAGTAGGTGGGAGGTGAGTTATTTGGTAGTGAGTACCAAAGAAAGTGAAACACTGAAAAAAAGTGACAGTAAAAAATTTAAAGGAAAAATCTAAGCAATAGGAAGGAGAGATAAGAGAGATATCTGTTGATACATTCTCAGTTAATTCAAAGAGAAAAAAATTAACACTAAATAGATTTTAATTTTTTTTTTTTTTTTTTACTCACTGCACAATTTATTTTTACTTCACATCCAACCATCAAATTAAATTTAGGATTCAGAAAATAAAAGGAGGAATATAAAAGAAAATTATTCTCCTTCTTCAAGAAAAGCCTTGTAACAATCTGCCATGCCACATGTCAGCACTTTCTGAAAACCTGTGAACAAATGGTTTTCAATTTGCTAATATTGCCTATTATTCAACTAGTCTAGATTTTCTTCCAGTTGAGTATATTTTCAGCTGGAAAGAAAAAAAAAACAAAGCATTTATTTTACATTATTACTGATTTCCTCAGAGGAATTTTATTTTCTACAGTATAGTCTTTGTATAATTTTTAATGGTTTATTACGAAAGTGTTGATGATTTGATAATAACAAATTTTACAAATACAATAAATCAAGACCCAAATAGAATAAATATAAACACTTTGCTCATGCAAGAGATAAGTAAACCATTAAGAAAAGTTAAGTATTTAT